AACATTATGTTATTTAAATACATGTATGCTTGGTTGGGATTGACTGATAGCTTAAATCTATTATATATCTCATTTGCTACAACACTGTATGGAAGAGATTTGATTTCTTTACATGTTCTTAGGTTTTGAAGCATAGTTGGCAGCTCTGTTATAAGCAGGTTGTTATTCAATTATGTGTATGTGTGTTTGGAATAGTCTGATGCTTAATTTAGTACATAAATGCACAATTATAGTACTGTTTGGAGAAGGAAGTTGCATAAACCTGTTATATCAATTTAATGGACTGAAACTTGGGTTCTAAGTCTTTCAGTGGAGGCATGACTTAGTTACACCCATGTTTAACTATATTTATGTTTGACCAAATTTATATACACCTTGTTACGGAATTGTATCAATTTATGTACAAGTTAAGGAATGTGAATGCTTAGATTATTTTGGCAGTTTACATTATTGGAGTGTTATAGTTAGGCCTTATAATGAATGCCTAATATTGATATATATGTATTTAGATTATAATGATGCATATTTTGGAGAATGGTTGTTGAATACATTGTGTTATTTGTAAACTATGCTATTTGGAGGGTTGTATGCACCGGTATGGGACGGTGGCATATTAGGGACGGATTAGTTAAAATACTAACTGCTACCTATTTTGGAATAAGTTGAATTAACTATAAAAGTTAAGTTCTACTTGTATGGATGTATATGCACCGGTGTGGGACGGTGGCATATTAGGGATGGCTTAGTTTAAAAAAAATACTAAGACCTACCTATTTTGAAATAAGATGGATTAACTACAAAAGTTAAGTCCTACTTATAACTTTGTGTCAGGTCAATAAGCTTTTTTGAATGACACACTTTGAACGGACTTTATATATTTATGTTATGGTGCCATGGTATGAGCTTGAGTCTCAGGACCATGGTTAGGGTGCGTATATCGCCTAGGATGGATAACTGGACAGTGGTTTTGTTCCCTGGTAGGTCTAGGTACACATGACCACATTACGTGCGATTTGCATGGTATTTCTACTCAGGCTGAGACATACCTATTGGACTAGTGAGCATCCTATAGTGTGTAATATATACATATATGGACTATTCTAGATATTGTTGAGTCTATCTAAGATGTATCTACGTATCGAATTCCTGTTTGGATCGTAGTAGATCAGGACTTGCATGTGGGCCTGACCCACTCCTTTATTTTTCAGGTATTCTCCAGTACCTTGCTTAGAGACTGATCGTGTTGATGCAGATACGGACACTCACTCTTCCGGTTGCATAGGATTTCCTTTCTATTTTGGTTTTGGATTTTAATACTGTAAATTTATTCAAGGATTTGGGATTAGGGGTCCCCTAGGTGGATTCCCGAGTTGTACAGATTTGAAGGATTTAAATGTTATTAATTTTATTATCTTAAGTTGAGAATTTTTTATTTATTTTAGAATTCTTTCAGCGTTTTGTTATTTTAATTTTAATTCAATTTTTATTTCTGCTTGTTTACATATTAATTGTCTGATATCCCTCGGATCTGTGCTCGGACTTAATCACCCGTGGCTCTAGAATCGAGGGGTATCACAGTCTAGTTCTGGGCCAATCATAATCGAACCGAATAATGGTATCTATATAGAAGAAGTTTTCGAAGAAAAAACTGAGCATATCTAGAAATTGAAGGGAGTTGTGATTGAAGAAAACAGCCCCATGAGACCAAAAAAATTGTGTTGGAAAAGCCACCATATGGCATGACTTAGCAGCTCAAACCTTTATATATCAAGGTACTGGTGGAAGGGAGGCCTTTGGCAAGAGTTCTGGTGGATAATGGTTTAGTGTTGAATGTTATTCCAGCCAATGTCGTGCATATACTTGGAAAGCCTCCTGAAGATATCATTCCAACTGATGTATCCATTAGTGGATTCATAGGAGGAATAGTGAATACATAAGGAATTCTACCGTTGGAATTAACGGTGTGAGATAGAACTTCCATCACAGCCTTCTTTGTTATTGAATCTATAGTGGCCTATAACTTGCTTTTGGGCCGCGAATGGATTCACCCAAATTTTTGCATTCCATCTTCACTCCATCAAATGCTAATATTTTGGGATGGAGATGAGGTAAAAGTGGTGGAGGTTGATAGCTAGCCATTTATGGCAATGGTTTACCATGTAGATGCTGAGTTTTATAGTGAAGAATTCGTTCTAATAAGATTTATTGGAAAGAATAGCAAGGGCCGTCCAAGGAAGGCCACCATGAAAAGAACTCTCATGGAAGATGTAAGGGAGCTTTTCCAAGAAACACAAAGGCCAATAATTCTACCTAAGGCCGGTGTTCAGCATTACATTTTAAACAAAAGTTTTTATGGAAGAGAAACCTAAAGAAAATAAAGTGCTTGGCCAGGCGGTTAATTGTTGCCTTGCTAGGTTGAAAGCATATCTAGCCGAACTACGGCTGAAAGGGCTGCTATTGTTGGTACTTCATTTTCAACCAATGTTTTAGAGATTATAGAAGACACTGAAGATAAGTTGGATGTTATCTAGCTAACAGACTTGAAGGCAGCGCCAATGAAGTTAGACGATCTTAAGGCCAAAGTACAAGATCCACTTTTGGAAGTTAATCTTGGAACGGAACAGGACCCTCCGCCTACCTATATCAGTAAGCTTTGGGAACCAACCTTTAGAGAAGAATTGATTTCCTTACTTGAAGAATACAAAGATTGCTTTGCATGGACATATGAGGAAATGCCAGGACTTTCCAGAGAGCTAGTAGAGCATAAGTTACCAATTAAGGAAGGTTTCAAGCCTTTCAAGCAGCCTCCAAGAAGGATGTCCCAAGAAGTTGTTCTAAAGGTCAAAGAAGAGATAGAAAGGCTATAAAAGGCTGGTTTTATAAGAACCACCAGGTATGTTAACTGGATTTCCAATATAGTTCCAGTTATTAAGAAAAATGGCAAGCTAAAGGTATGTGTGGATTTCCATAATATCAATCTTGCAACTCCAAAAGATGAATACCCCATGCCTGTTACTGACCAATTAGTAGATTATACTGCTAAGAATGAAATTCTTTCATTCATGGATGGGCATTCTAGGTACAACCAGATTTATATTGCGGAAGAAGACATTGCCAAGATGGCTTTTAGATGTCTAAGATCCGTTGGAACCTTTGAATGGGTTGTCATGCCATTTGGATTGAAGAATACTGGAGCAACATATCAAAGGGCCATTTCTTGGAAGTCTACATTGATGATGTAGTAATCAAATCCTCGGCTAAGGCTCAACATTTCCATAATTTAAAGATGGCTTTGGAAGAATGAGGCAGCACAAGTTGAAGATGAATCCTTTGAAGTGTGCCTTTGGGGTTTCAGCTGGAAACTTCCTGGGTTTTCTCATCCACCAAAGAGGTATTGAAATAGAATAAAATAAAGCAAAGGCAATTATTGAAACAAAGCCACCGGCCATTAAGAAAGAACTACAAAGATTTCTTGGCCAGGTTGGATATTTGAGGAGATTCATTGCCAACTATGCTGGAAAGACTCATGCTTTCTCCCCATTGTTGAAATTGAAAGGTGCTGAGGAATTTAAGTGGATGGACCAGCACCAACAAGCCTTTGAAGGTTTGAAAAGCTACTTGGCCAACCCGCCAGTTATGATGCCTCCAATCAAGAAGTGGCCTTTAAGATTATACTTATCGGCCGCTGATGAATCCATTGGAACTCTTCTAGCTCAAAATAATGAATAGGGAAAGGAGCAAGCCATCTATTATCTAAGTACGGTGTTCACTCCAGTGGAATGTAGGTATACTTCCATTGAAAAGTTATGCCTTTCCTTATACTATGTGACTATGAAGTTGAAAACCTATATGTTGCCAGTGGCCGTGTATATCATTTCTCAAACAGATTTGATTAAGTATATGCTTTCGAGGCCTTTGATCACTAGACATATTGGAAAGTGGTCATTGGCCTTAATGGAGTTTTCCTTCAAGTATATTCCACAAAAGGCAGTCAAAGGATGGGCGGTGGCAGAATTTCTAGCAGACCATCCTTCCACCAAGATTGATTCAGAAATATGTGACAAGGTGGATAATCTCTACCTTGACTATACACCTTGGACTCTCATGTTTGATGAATCAAGCACTCATGATGGAGGAAGAGCTGGAATAGTCATCATTTCACCAAAGGGAAAAAAAACCACATTTTCTTTCTTCTTGGATTTTATGTGTACAAATAACCAAGCTGAGTATGAGGCACTAATTATTGGGCTGGAAATCCTGCTAGAGCTAAAGGTGGAGAAGGTCCAAATTATTGGAGATTCAAATTTGATACTTAGTCAACTTTCTGAAGAATATAGATGTCTTAACTGGCATTTGAAGCCTTTCCATTCTTTGGCCTTGGAATTACTTTGCCAGTTTGATGATTTCCAACTCAAATATTGGCCAAGACATTTGAATACGGAGGCTGATGATTTAGCACAGCTAGCCTCCCGAGTGAAAGTCCCACCGGGTGTATAAGAAACTTTGATCACAATCAAAAGAAAGACTCTCCCTTCTATAGAGTCACGGTATAAGATGGTATGTTATTTCCAAGCTGATGAGCTAGAAAAGATCAAACATACCAAGAAAACATGGGAGATTTTCAATGTTGATATAGATGGCCTAGACTTGGAATATTGGAGAACACCAATTATTCATTTCTTGCAGGAGCCTAGTACCAATGCGGACAAAAGAATTCAAATTTTGGCACCTTAGTATACTTTAATTGATGGAGATCTATACAGGAAAAGTAAAAAAGATGGGCTTTTGCTAAGATGTCTTGGCAGGAGTGAGTCCATGAGAGTGATGGCAGAATCACACCTTGGAATATGTGGAGCACATTAAGCTAGATCAAAATGATGTGGCTTTTAAGAAGGTACGCTTATTATTGGAAGGGTATACTAAAGGATTGCATAGAGTTTGCAAAGACTTGTACTACATGTCAGGAACATAGCCCGGTTCAAAGAATTCCAGCTATCAACATGCAGCCGGTAGTAAAAATATGGCCATTCAGAGGGTGGGCTTTGGACTTTATTGGAAAGTTAACACCACCATCTGTAGATGGACATACTCATATTGTGGTAGCAACGGACTACTTTATAAAATGGGTGGAGGCTATTTCATTAAAGACGTGTGAGCAGCTACCAGTGATTGATTTTATCAAGAAGCACATTATTCATAGGTTTGGAATTCTAGAGACTATTACCACTAACAGAGGACTTTCCTTCATTGGAAATAAAGTTCTTGATTATTGTGCTGAGTGTGGTGTCCAAGTGATCCGTTCCACTCCATATTTCGCCCAATCAAATGGACAGGCTGAGGCTTCCAACAAAGTAATTCTCAATATCCTTGAAAAGATGATTGAGAATCATCCAAAGGAGTGGCATCACTTACTTTCTGAGGCTCTTTGGGCTTACAGAAATTCAAAAAGATCAAGTACGGGCGTCATTCTATATATGCTTACATACAGATATGATGCCATTCTTTTAATGGAGATGACTGTCAGGTCTACAAGAGTGGCTTTCCAAAATAATTTGACACCAGCAGATTACAACCACACCATGTTGGTGGAATTGGAAGACCTTGATCAAATCTGTCTTAATGCCTTGGACCATATTATTGCTCAAAAGAAGAAAGTCATGCGGGCGTACAACAAGAAGGTTAAGGTAAAGACATTTGTTGAAGGAGACCTGGTATTGCAAGTTAGATTTCCCCAGGAGTCAAAGACAGGGAATATGGAAAGTGGACCCCTAATTGGAAAGGTCCTTACTTGGTGGAACAAGTCCCTGGAAAAGGGGCTTATAGGTTTAATGGACATAGATAGAGAATCCCACAAGCATCCTATGAATGGGGTGTATTTAAAAGAGTATCATCCTTCCATCTATGAAAACTGGAAATCCACAATCATTCAACTGGCCATTTAGAATGGCTGGTATCTTCCTTTCCAAGTAAACCGAAAAGTTGGAAAGGAAGCGTAATGGCAATACTTCGGCCATTCCAAGAAAGAAAAGCTAAGTACTTGGAAAAGTACATTGGCTAAATTTATGAAGCAGACTTAGCTGAATTTCCAAGATCAGCTGATTTCCTAAGTATAGAGCATTTCATTGAGAAGAGGCTATATTACATGGTTTAGGTTCCATTCATACTGGAAATTACTCAAGTTGCTTGTATATACATGCATTTCCATGTTAGCAAATCCAATACCTCCAATTCTTCTTCTTCAATTTATTTTTCTTCTTCTTCATGATGGTAGAATTTAAATCCCATGCCTTATCATCAAGTTATTCCACAAGGCATGGAATTTGGGGGGCATATGTTTACTCTATTATTTTTGGCCCAATGGAAATTTGACATGTGGCGAGTTCCAATAGAACTTACCACACTGAATCACAACTCTAATAAATTATTATTGGAAGCTATGTAATATTATGTAGTAATTGAAATCAAAGACAAGTGGGCCAATACAATGCTACCATGTGGGGTTTTCTATTTTTAAAGGAAAGAGGTGAGTCCTATTAGGACTTTCCATCTTTAAAACAAGGGCCCACATCTTCCTATATTGAATAAAGAGATTACATGGAAATATTATACTATATTCAACCTCATACACTTATCCAAGTCAAAGTTCATCCAACCAATTGTTTTTTTTCATACATAGCGAGTTTTACTGAGCTTACCATGGTGTTAACCACGTTGGATCAATTCTTTTAAGAGTTGTTATTATGGAAGGTTTATGAAAAGATCGTGCTTTCAAAGAATCTTAAAAGAAAGGTTTTCAATTACGTCAAGGTAAAAGTTGACTAAGAGAACGTGGGGCTAGATTTTCTCCTTGTTTTTAGGAGAATCCAAACAACTACTTCAGCTAAGTTGGCAACATTACAGAAGAAAAGGGAAGTGGGTGATGGTTTAAAATAGCAAGTATATATTTCTGGATATATATATATATATGTGTGTGTGTGTGTGTGTGTGTGCAAATAGATATTTATATTTTGGAATACTACCCACGATGAGAAAGCTACTAAAATCAAGGAGTCTATGGCGCCATGAACTACAAACTCGGAAGGAAAGTCTCAAGAAGGGGAATTACCAAAAATCCAAGGAACGTGGTTTGCTGAAAGAAAGGGACATGGGAATAAGTTATAATTATGGAAATATATATATATATATATATATAGAATTCCCAAAAATCCAAGGAACGTGGTTTGCTGAAAGAAAGGGACATGGGAATAAGTTATAATTATGGAAATATATATATATATATATATATATATATATATATATATATATTATACTAAAATCCCACGATAAAGCAGTCACTGTAATTTTGGAAGCCACGGTGTCATAAATTTCAAGCCCAGATAGGAAGGTTTGGTTGAGGGAAGTTGCAAAAAATCAAAGGAACGTGGGCAATGATTTATATTTATGGAAATATATATATATATGTATATTCAGTATACTAGATAGACACCCACAATGAGAAAAAGCTGCTGTAATTTTGGAAACCCATGACGCCATGAACTCTAAACCTAGAAGGAGAGTCTCGAGATGGGAAGTTACAGGAATTGAGGATGCCAGCCCACTATAAAAAGATGCTGAAATTTATGAGGCCATGGCGTTATGAAAAGAGAGGTCTGGTTGAAGGAGGTTAGCCAAATAAAGGACAATGTGGGTCTACAACTAATTTTTACATACATGCATGATACATATAGAAGTTATACAAAATTTACGGCAGAGATAAGAAGAACATGAAGACGTGGGACACATGTAAACCTATGGAGAAACCATATGCAGAAACCAAGTAGAAAATATATTAGAAGAACTACCCATAAACTGAGATCATGGAGAACATGGCTGAAGTCTGCAATAGAGAAGGGAAAAGATGGAAGAAAGAAGTTACAACTGCCAAGAGATCATGTGGCATTTGGCAGTCCAAAATCTGGTCACGTGGAAATCGCTGGAGTTACCATATCAAGCTGTTACATGCATGGAAAGCTTTATAAATAGAGCACTTAGAGCTAAACCTTTTTCAAATCACACAACCCAACAGCACTTCAATTTCTTTACATTCATGTAATGCACTTTTAATATGTTTAATTCAAGTCCTGCGCTTATTATTCTTACTTTCCAGTACTTACTTTGAGGTCCTGCACTTTCAATACAACTTTCCTTTCCACTAGCCATAATTCAGTCCAAAAGTCCTCTTTCAAGGCAAAAAGAACCTTTGAATATGGTAATTCTAGTCCTTCATACAATCATTTGATCCCTACAGTCTCTTACTGGATAGTTGTTTGGATATCCACTTTGGAACGACAGCAGTTCCTGGCACGCCAGACATCCACTCCTACTTTCCACTCATTTGGAAGGTGGATCCCCGGTTTTTAGGAGCCAAACACTTACTATATTATATGGGAAGTATTCATTACCTGTCGCCTTTTCATTGGCTGAGAACAATCAGCAAATTATTCAGTTGGAGTAGTTTGTTGGTGTGGGTTATACCCACTATCCATCCAGCCCTGCACAAAAATGAGGTTCAGTAAAATTATAAAAAGATAAGAAAACTTTTGAAATTTATCATTTTGCTATGAAGTTACCTAATGAGTATTGATAGGGTCAGTTTGAGTGGTATATGAATATTGTTCAGTATAAGCAACGGGTTGGTTTTCACTATCTCTACCATCCATCTGGATCTGCATTCCAATTATTAGTTGTATCATTTTATTTGAAGCCCTAATGTATTATGACAATTGATTGATAATAATGTACATCAGTGAAGAGCATTATCCATTGCTTTATTATATAAGATGTTTTCATTACCTGCTATCTTTTCATAGGCTGAGAATAAGTAGCAAATTGTTGAGTTGGAGCAGTTTGTTGGTATGGGTTATACCCATTATCCTTCTGGCCTTAAAAAAGAAAGAGGTTTAGTTAAATGGTAAAAAGATAAGGAAGCTTTTGAAATTTATCATCTTGCTATGAAGTTACTTGACAAGTATTGGTGGGGTAGTTTAAGGGGTATATTGTTCAGTATGTGCATCTAGTTGATTTTGGTTATCTCTAGCATCCATCCGGCCCTGTAATCCAATTATTAGTTGTTTCATTTTTTGTGTTTCTTCTTTTAAATCATGCACTTCTTCTTCATAAGCTCTTCTAGGAACTAAAGCCATCTTCATTAACTTCACATGACTAGGTGTTATGCGATAGAGAGGGACCCAAGCCATACATGAGAACCAGGCTATGTCTATCTTTGCCAACTACGTACTTGGGAAAAGATGTCATCTCTAACAACACCACATTGTTAAGTTTCTGGTTGCTGAGTTGCATATTCTTTAAGCTTATTCTACATAAAAAAGGCAAATGTTTGCATTATACAACCACAGTATAAAGTGTGACGGCCCTGGTTTTTCAAGCCAATGCGTCGTATGATGAACCAAAGATTGACCTGATAACGGATTCGAATGCGGAAGCCAAAATAGAAAACAAGACTCAAAGAAGTCAAAGTGACCTTCCATGAGGTCGTGGAACTCAATAAGAACTGATGTGGAAGCAAAAGATTGAAAATATAACAAATAAGCCCCCAGAGTCAAAATGGTAATTTTCTAAAAATATGAACTCAGGTGCCACCGAGCACACCGCTGGGAAGACAATGAAAAATTAATCAAGATGGACTCAAGAATCGCATGATTCGGAGTCTGAAAGAAGGAGAAATGGCATGACGAAGAAAAAAGAGCACTTAAGGCAAAAAGGGTAAACTGGTAATTATTCAGGAAGATCCGGGTGCAACCAAGCACACTGTTGGAAAGACACAGAAAAATTAGAGAAGTTAAAAAAAAAGTTCACTCGAATTGGAGTCCGGACGAGGGAGAAATGAGGGTTTGAAGTTGAGACATTGCGGCGGCCTAACGAAGGCCATGGTGTGCCTAGCACCCATGCGCGAGCCACCGGCGCCCAATGGCATGCACATGTTGACAGCAAGAAAAAAAAAAAAAAAAGTTAGTTTCTAGAACTGAGGCTTGAAACAAAGGTCGAAACGAGTTTTTTTTGGAAAAACACGAAGAAGAACCCCCCCCCCCCAAAAAAAATCAAGTTTTCTACCCGATAATGTGGAAGGAAATGAAAAAAACTCACTACAAAATCCCCAAAATGCCCCTAGATCAGAACTGGACAAGAGGGCAAAAAGCTGCTACAGTTACTGTCCACATCTGAGATAAAAAACGGGCAACCAAACGAATTTTTTCTGGAAAAACATAAAAAAGAAACCCTTCCCGAAATTAAATTTTCTACCCGGAAATGTGGAAAAAAATGAAAAAAACTCGCTATAAATTGGCCAAAATGCCCCTCCAAGAAAGAGGGTTAAAAAGATGCATAAAACAAGAATGCAAGAAATGTAAAGGAAGGAGATCTAGGTAGAGAGGGCTAGGGAAGTGAATCCACTACCTATCCATAAGCATGTTAATACATGATTTACTTCGGGAATAATATATACACATAACCACGAAATGCAACAACATAAAATTGCTACATTACCTTCAAGAATTTTTTATGAAATCAATAGGCAAGAATAACTTATCAAAGTATTGCATGTTTTGGTTAGCTAAACTAGGTTGCAACCTTAGACATACTCACTAAGCATAGAGTTATCAAGCCCTTAATCACATAGTAGAAGCACATGACATTAGGAATCAAGAATAATCTATCAAAAGAGAACCCTAAGCTATAGACTATCAAATTTCCCAAGCATCATGCCAATAAAAACATTTCCATAAACTCATCTTCATTGTCACTATGAAAATGGAAGCAAAATAATCATAAGAGGAAACAATCTTAAGACAAGATCTTAAACTCAAAATGATCATTAATAGACATTAAAGCTCTTCACATCAAATAAAACTCTAGTTCATGGAGAGGTCATATATATACATTACAT